CCATCCATCCACCCATCTATCCATCATCTATCTGCATCCTGCCAATTACATAGCTTGGGATGTTCTGCAAGATACTGGTTGACCAGAAACTGTCCCTGGACTCATTCTTCTAACCTATCCTCAAACATCCTGGACTGGTGCTGGTCTGTTGCCTAAAGCAGTAGCTCTCAGCCAATGCACCTCATGAGAAGGAGGGTACAAGATGCTGGAGTTCAGGCTGCCCAGGCTCAGATGCCACAGCTTGTTTCCTCTGGGTGCTTTAGTAGTCCTGTGTGCGGCTCATGGGTGTTTCAGACCCCGCAGGCATGGTTGAGACCTCCTTGCTTAGACTCTCTCCAACTGGAGTCGCTTCTCTCTTTACACCACCGACTTCCCAGAGTGATAAATCACTACAGTTTAAATGAAGGTCACAGGCTTGGTTTTTGTGTTTCTTCTGGGATTCAAGCCTGGAGGGAGGCAGGCTCTTCCGTATCCTTCTTTGTCTTGGAGTCGTCCCTCAGCCCTTGCCTGGTGGGTTTCATTGTGGAGTGCTGGTCTTTCCAGAACAACTCTCCTAAGCACCCTCAATTCGGTGCGGAAGAAACTTCAATATTTCATGGATAATTAAAATGATAAATGGGCTTTTTGGCTCCCTGGCCATTTAGTTGAGAGCAGGAACAGCCAGGGGCTCTGGAAGATTGGGAGAGAAGCCAGACACAGGGAGGGAACAACTTCAGCCCAGGGTGGCCTTCTACACTCTGACTTGCAAGGACCCTGCAGCCAATAGTCCTCATTCAGATAACACTGAGGCCCAGGCCACTGGACTGCGCCGAACATCCAGTAGAGCCGGGTCTGGGCCTTGCTGGCTCTTTGGGGGTTCTGCTTGTCAATTTTTGGCCAGAATCTGACCATTAGCATCTGGCCTGTTGTCTTAGAGTTTGGGAAACCTGAATACTAGAGCAAGAGTTGGCCTGGCTTCCCCAGGCCACAACCCACGTTGGAATCTAAAATGGAAACCAGTTCAGTCACATATATTGTGGACTGTTATAAAGGTTGCATGCCAGGTCCTGAGAGCCATGGGGGATGGGTTTGGGTCAGAAAATTTACCTCTATGAGTAAAGCTGTCTTCTCCAGTCCTAGGAGAGGATAGCTCTACTCACAGGGGTCCCTTCTCCAGAGGACACACATATCCCGGTGGGGCATGGGCTGGGGCTAGATATTGGCTAGCTGTCTACTCACCTTTGGGCCAGGTCAGTGTTGTCCAAGGGCCACAAGATGTTGCTGTGGCCAGTGCCCAGGAGACCCCAGAGTGAATCTGTGTGGGGTTGGGATGAGCCAGAGGTCTGAACACCTGCGCCTATGGTACAGGGTGGAAGCCGCTCAGCTCAAAGGTGAGGCAGGCCTGGGTGACTGGGAAAGGAGCAGGCGCCAGCTCTTGGTCCAGCCTCTACTCTTTAGCATTCCTTGGCCTGTCTCCTCCCACTCCGGCATTCCTCATGTTCTGGGACAATATCTAAATTGGGCACTTGGACGAGACATTCCCTAGGAGCTGCCAACCTTCTCGGTCCAGGGTGGTCACAGGACTGCTTGGCTACACATTTCCTGCTCTTGGTTTGGCTCCCGTTCTAATGCCCACGATGCCCGATGCCAACGCCTCACCCTGTGCTGAAGGCTTCTTTTACTGGGCTCCATCCAGGCACCATTTGGAGTGGTGGAGGTGGGTCTGCCTGTGCATCTGCGCGCGCACATGCACATCTGTATCTACACATCCTCCTTGAACATTTAACTAAATATTTATTGGCCCCAAGTGAGGCACAAATTCCACAGTCCGTTCCAACCTTGAACTTATGATTGGAGAAAAGTGCCCGAGTATAATTTGCCAAATGTGTATAATTCTCCCCGCCCTTCAGGCCCAGTATACTCCCCTTGAGAAGTCTCCTGTGGAGACCTCAGCCCTGTGTCTCCTGCCTTCTCTAGACTTCTCCAGCGGCGTGTGCTCTGTGCGGCCTATTCTGAGCTCTGTTGCTTCTGCACAGGTTCTGAAGTATTTGCCTGCCGTCTCCTGGGGAACCAAAACCAAAGTAACAGAGGTGTCTAGACGCTGGTTCAATGCTTGACTCCCGCACACCGGCAACACTGAGCTGGCTAATTTCTCTGAGACACAGTGTCTCTCCATCTGGTGGTGGTGGGTTTGTCCTTGCACACAGCAGGCCAAGCTCCTCACGTTCCCGTTCCTGTTCCCGCTCTTTTCTCCTCCGGGTTGCTGGAACAGGGCTGGGCTTGTGGTGGGTAGTCAAAAAAAAAAAAAAGGTGGTGGTGACTGATTAATGATTATGGAGCCTGCAATTATTGGGATGAAGTCCCTAAACAGAGAACCAGCCCTAAGCAAACCCATTAATTAGGGGCCTGTTTGCAGTCTTTTTGTCCTGGCCTGTCATGTGTTAGCTCAGGGGGGACTTTGTAACCCCCAGTGCCCACCCTCCTAGAGGTCATTCTGGAAGAATAATGGCCAAGGAGAAGCTCAGGGCTGAGGTGTGCAATTCCCACCTACTTGTGACCTTCACGCCCACCCCAGTTCTGGTCCAATAAACAAGTTAACAGGTGACAAACACAGCCTTAATAAAGGAGCCCACTGGCTTTAGGACAGCAGTAAGCCTAGGCTAATGGGCTTTTACTAGGGAGTAGGGACTCCCTGAGGGAAGGACTGCTGACCTGGAGTGACCTCTCAGGCTAGGAAAAGACCAGCTCCTCGCTACTTTTTTTTTTTTTTTTCTTTTAAAGCTTTGGAGTATATTAAAAACAAAAAGAAGGAGAAATATAAACAACAACCCCCTCCCCCAACAATCCCCTGAAACTTTCAAAATAGAGCATTATAAATCTTAAATAAAGAAATATTTATTTATTTATAAATAAAACTTAAATATTTGTAGTTTCCAAATCACAAAGTTCAGTCCCTAGATGTAAGAAGATTGTAGCACTTTTACAATAATTTCAGGACTCAGAAAAATCTGAATTGTTCCTTGCCATCAGTGGTAAGATAAACTATGGGATATAAATTGAAAGCAGCATGATGGATGTCTTTTCATCCTGGGTTAATGGTCACCCTGCTTCACTGAGATGGTCCATGGGGGCAGCTCAGGGCTTGGTGTCTACTGGACCTCACTGAAGTCTTGTCAGAATTAAGTTGGTTCCTAGTGACAGAGACGTGGAGGTAACCTCATCTTACCGGAAAGAAAAATTCATTAGCAAGCCACAGGCCCATGCTCATGGCTTCCTTCAAAGGTGTGGGGCTCTTGGCTAATGGGTGTCCATGTCAAGCCCAGGCGACAGCACCCTGTGTGTTATGTGCACCCACCCTGGGCTCTGCCTTAGACACAGCCAGCCTGTCTTCATTCACTCTCTTTCTTGCTGGCTATCATTTGCCCTATGAGCTGGGGCTATGTTTCCCCTTTCCAGCTCTGCGGCCTCAGTATCTACAGGGAAGTGCTTCACACCTATGCGGACATAAATGGAATCAACTCCTGGGCTCTTCTCCATTTCAGAGAACAACATATGATAGTATGATCATATCTGCTCCTTTGTCATCGTCGTCCGGTACAGGCTGTGAGACGGGAGCGTCTTGGTGTGGCTGACTCAAAGAAAGCAGTGACTGAAGTCTCCAGTTGGATGAGTGCTCACTCCATTGCCTCTGTTGACCGAGTCTAGTCCAATAGGACAGCCCTCCTCCCAGCCCCAGGTCAGTATGCTTGGTGGTTTTGCTTCTTGATGACTACTTTCCTGTTTTACAAATCTCTGTCCCTAGAAGCTGATTTTTTTTTTTTTTTTTTCTTGTATCAGGGCACATCTGGTTGTTGCTTAGTTAGAAAGTCTTAAAACAGCATGAAATTGTTAGCACGTTACTCGGGCCTGCCAAGCTGTTCCTGAGACTCGGGCTTTGGTGGATTTAGTTTTCTGTTTGTTTTCTGTTTTCATGCAGTTTAGAAAATTGGTCTGTGACAACCTAAGGGGAAATGAGCCTGCCTCAGGCTCCACCGAGGAGAGGCGCGTGTGTGTGAATTGAGCTCTGAGGGGGGAGGGCACTCAGAGCACCTGGCTGCTAGCTTCCAGGCTTGCGTTTCCTTGCCTTGGGTTTTGGATTGACACTCAGGCTAATTTGGTGCGTGTGGGGAGTAGGAATGCCCAAAGTTAGTGGGGAGGGCTGGGGAGAGACTGGCTGCATGTAAGTCCTCACAGGGAAACTTGCGTGGACCAGCCTACTGTCTTTGAGTTCCAGAGGAGACAGACATGCTTCCCCTAGATGCCTGGGGTTGGGAATAAGGGACCCCCCTTTGCTATGCATTTAATTTCTCTGCTATCTTGGGGTGTGGGCACTGCCAAGAAATCAACTTTCCCCACATGGCTCCAATATGCCATCTCCGCTCCCTGTTCTCAGTAGCTCTTGCCTCTTGGCAGATTTCCTTTCTGGAAAGAATTGCATGTAGGGAAAGTCTAGGCTATGATGTTTCTCTTTGGGTGGTAGCTGCTTCCCTGGCTGCGTGTGTGAGTCCAGCCAGCACTGCTTCTGGATGGTGACACTCAGCACTGGGCAAAGCAGGTTGCAAATGTCTCTAGTGCCCCAGGTAACACCCAATTAGACTCCAGGCAGCAGGGATAGGATTCCGAAACAGCTCTTTGCTCAAAATGCCAACGGCAGCATCCTTCCCTCCGACACTTAGGATGCCCCACACCTTCTCTCAGGTGCTTTGTGTTGTTCCATCTTTGATTGCTATTTGAAGATCTCTCCTCTTGTTCTCCTCAGTCTTTTTAGCTTTCCATCTCTCCAAAGAGTCTAGATCTTCGTGAGCAGGACCTTCGTGATCCAGAACAAAAGGTTCTAGATCTGAACCATCTGTACCGGTGCTCAGCATCCTGACTGTGCTGCTCTTATAGCTCATGCTTGCGGCTCCGAAGGATGGACAGTCCACCTCCTTCTCACCTTGGTGCTTGAGGTGACTGCACCCTGAGCATCTACAGTCTCTAAAAGAGCCTTGTCTGCAGAACCTGTGATTTAGATGTGATGACTTGCCCATGCACCGTATTGACTGACAGTGGGTGACGGAGTCATAAAGAGACATCTGCCGATGTAACTGTCTCCTCGTTCCTCTTAGACCAGCATCTGTGAACTCAGGAAGGGCGAGGATTAGAACATGTTGGCTCAAGCTTTGCCGCGCTCACTGTCTGCAACCTAACCCCTCTGCTCTCGCTTCCTTGCTCTGTCGAAGCCTGAAGGGATGGCATGGTGTCAAACTGATCAAGTTCAGTTCCCTTTGTCTCCATTGCTGTTTTTGTTAAAGATATTGAAATGGTCTTTAATTTTGAAGAAAGGGCAGGGAGAGAATGAAAAAAGGGAGCATTGAGAGAACTTAGGGATTTCAACTCTTTCAGCTTGGCAGGGCTTAGAAACCCACAGTGGTGCCCCTCTTTAACCCATCCACATCCCAGGAGCCTAGACAATGCGGCTCTCTATAGGTCCTTAGGGCATCCCTGTCTCCTCGTCACCAGGAAGAGGTCAAGGCAGTGTGTCTGTCCTGCTCATAGCCTACACTGGGGCTCTAGGGACTCATAACAGGGTTTCTGGAGCCTGCTGATTTCCAGAAACCGTAATCAGATTCTTGTATGTGTTTTTGTTTTTTCCTGGAGAATGGATTCGTTGATTTAATTAGATTCATAGAGAGGTCAGTGACTTCATTCTAAAGAGCACTGAAAGTGAAGTCCATATGAGACCACTTTAAAAAAAAAAAACACCAAAAAACCAGGGTCTCACTCTGTAGCCTTGGCTGACCTGGAACTTGCTACATAGACCAGGCTGGCTTTGAACACACAGATCTGCCTGTGTGTCTCTCCAACCGCCCCCTCCCCGCAATGCTAAGGTTAAGGTATTCACTATCATGTTCTAAGAAAACTCTGTTTTAAAAGCAAGTGCTAGGACAATTCTTACCTCCTCTGAAGGGATGGGCCTGCTCTTCGCCCTGTCATTAATTTTTAAGATTCCCGATACCATTAGGACATTTTTCCGTTTCCCATTTCCACTCAACAGTTATTCAACCTGAATTGTCTAGTTTTGTGTGAAGGACAAAGGAAGCGATGAATGGATTAACTTATCACTCCTCTCCTTCCCCCGTGACTACTGAAACACCTAACTCATGGCTGTTTCAGCTACAATAAGATTGAACATAGAGGGACAGGCAAAGAGGAATAGAGATAACCTTAAAATCTTCACTACTGAGAGTGAGTCCCCACATTAGAGGGACCAGTGCTCTTGGTGGTCAAAACTTCCTGGTTCTGTGTCTGTCAAAGGCCTCGGCCTAGGAGGAAGCAAGCCCCTTATAAGATCCAGTGGCCTCCAGCCCGTGGCCTATGGTGACTTCTCCAGGCAGGACACAGTTAATAGATAAAGATTCACAGTCTGCACATGTCAGCGAATTAGAAAGACCCCAGTGAGCAGCTTTGCTATTCTTCTGTCACCAAAAGGTGAGTCACCATGAAATCATTCTCTACCAGACCCTGAGGGTTTCTCTCCTCCACTGAGTGGCTTAGAAGACAGCCTGTCACTACAGGGCAGAGGCCCCTGGCTTTAGAAACAGCTGTGCCTCTCAGCCTTGTGGGCCCCATGAATTCATCTGAATAATTCCTGGGAGGCTGGTGTTGTCTTAACGAGGAGGGGGAGGGGATAAAAAGAGGTGGTGACACACAGAAATACTGCTGCCTTTGCTGAAAGGCTCGCCCCGAGTGCAGGGGGTGTGTGTGCGCTTCCTGAACCCTAAGTTAGATAAGTTAGGGCACTTCTTATCTCTTTCCTAGCTCTTCCAGAAACTTGTGTATTTTCTCATGTGGCACTTAGGATATGACAGGCCTTGTGGAAGGGAGGGCACAGAAGTTATTGACCTGACTTGTCCTTATATAGGCTTTAAGCTGGTCTTTCCCAGGCTAACACTTGGTCCAGCCCAACTCACCAAGATAACGTTGGGTACAAGGTGCGCTTAGAGAGGTTCCTGATGCCCAGCACTGGTGGGCTTTAGAAAGCATCCTTAGAGTATAGGTGATGTCCGAGCCCTGCTGTGTTCTGTCTTTCGCCTCTAATTTGCCAGTACGGAATGGGCCAGAACTCTACCAGCCATCTTGGAAGAGAAGATAAGGCCTGTGCTCTGTGAGGGCAGGGTGGAGCGCCAGACAGAGAGCAGAGGATCTTGACCGGTTAGCATTGCCTGTTTCTGACATTTTTGTGATTCAGAAAGGAGTAAACTCCTGACTATGTACATCACCATTAGCCTGGGGTTTTCTGCCACACAGGATCTAACTTATTTCGTGGTCGTACTTTGGGGTTCAGGGTCAGACTACCTGGACTAAATTCCCACTACTGTCATTTTTATAGACAATAATTTGGCCGAATCTTTTTTTTTTCAAGGTAGCGTTTCTCTGTGTAGTTTTGGTGCCAGTCCTGGATCTCACTCTGTAGACCAGGCTGGCCTCAAATTCACAGAGATCCACCTGCCCCTCCCTCCCAAGTGCTGGCATTAAAGGCATTCGCCACCACTGCCCAGCCTTTGGCCAAATCTTATAACCTCTAAAATCTTTCAGTTTTCTTGACTGAAATACAGACCAGTATTGTGCTCACATATGTGTTGCATATACAATACTATGTATAACACATGTAAATATTATGTGTTATACATAGTATTGTAAACATTAAGTGTATAACACAGGAACTGGCCACACAGCTCTGTGGGTGAAGGTGCTTATCACTCAAACCTGGTGGGTGACTTGAATTCAGTCCCTTGGATCTATATAAATGTGGAAAGAGAGAACTGATTCCATAAAGTCCTCTGACCACCACACGTGTGGTGTGGTACACACACACACACACACACACACACACACACACACACACACAAACAAACAAAGATACTTGATATGTGCTCAGCACTCAATAAAAACATTTGCTGTTATTGTTACCAGCATCCTGATTATCCTGTGGCATCAACAACCTTAGAGCACTCAGCAACCACTTGGGGTGACTAGAAGTCACGAGTTCAGAGCCTGAAGCCTGTATCAACTCATACATTCAGAGAAGGACCTACCTTTTCTTTACATCCCGAAAACAGAGCTGGCAACATTAAGCTTATTGGGAAGACCAAATGGGGGAAAATCCAGGCGGGCAGTCCTTACAATGGATTCCCCCAGCATCCACCGCACTCAGGCTTGTTCTGTCGGCTTTCACGCTGTGGAGATAAAGGGAACCATGGAGACCACTTCCCCACCCAGCTTGGATGGAAGTACAAGCTGACACCAGCAGTTTGGTAGCTACAGTAGACAGAGCTGGTCACCCATGGTGACCATTGGTGGAGTCCAGGCAGTGGTGTGACCTGCACCGTGAAGACTCGAACCTGTAGGCCAGATGGACCTGGCCAGATCTCAGTTCTCAGGCTTGACAGGGTCAAGGGTGAAAAACAGGACACTGAGGAGTCAGGGAAAGTGAGTGTTGTTTAAACAGCCGGCGTGCCGGGGGTCTTAGTGAGAGGAAGCAGAGAATGTGGGTTTTCCAGACTGAACTCTGCAATTACCAGGGGAGAGGCCACAGGCACACAGTAATAGCAATCGCAAGCTCTGCGAAGACTGTAATCGTCATCTTAAAGAGCTGTTTGCAAGGCTCTAACTAAAGGAGATAATTGATAGAGCGTGAGGCACACAGGGTGGGCCCCTTTCCCCAACCACATCCTCACGGGCAAATCCTTGCCGTCTCATGAGTTTTCTGCTCTTGTGTATGCAGTGGATTTGATTTCCAGCTGCAGGTACCTGAGCCTTAAAGGGGCCTTGGTGGTGCTAGGTGGTTTTATAGGGTAAGTTATGAGCTCTCTCTCTCTCTCTCTCTGAATAATGTGAATAATGTTGCTTGAGTGTCCTGCACACACAGCCTGCTCTTCAAGCCTCCTTTCCTGACACATTTAGAAACTTCAACTGGCCACAGATGCACAGAACAAATCAGTTCTGTACTCCCTTCTTGACTGACTCTTCAACAAACACAACATCTCACTCCCAGGTATAAAGCATGCTAATGCTTCCCTTGGAATTTGCCTCCCTGGCCCATTCTCCTCCCCTTCTTCTTCCTTCTCCTTGTTCTTTTGAAACAGTGTATCCTGTAGTCCAGATTGACTTTGAACTTGCATCATAACCAAGGATGGCCTTGAACTTCTAATTCTTCTGCCTGCGACTCCCTAGTTCCAGGCATGGGACACCTAGTCTGGCTTATGAGGGGCAGAGGATCACATGCTAGCTGAGCTGCATTTCCAGCCTCAGATTTTGTTATTCAGTAAGCAAGCCCCATTCTTTAAAAAAAAAAAATATTTTATTTTATTTTTATGTGCATTTGTGTTTTTGCCATGGGTGTCAGGGTCCCCTGAAACTGGAGTTAAAGACAGGTGTGAGCTGCCATGTGGGTGCTGGGAATTGAACTTCCTCTGGAAGAAGAGTCAGTGCTCTTAACCCTGAGCCATCTCTTTAGCCCCGCCCCATTCTTGATAATGCTTCATTGCCTTGCTTCCTGCGCCCATCTGGACACAGCCCCTGTGGCTATTACAATACACATGCCTCTGGCCTATGCTTTGCATGCTCCTCCTGTGAATACGTGTGCATGTAGAGATCCTGTACCGGAGCTTGGCTTTTGGATGTTGCATGTAACATTTCTCCACTTTTTGTAGCTTCTCCAATACTTATCACACCCACATGTCTAAACACGGACGCCTACAGATGCATGCAGCCCTCTGATGAGATAGAATTTAAGATGCAGTGAAGTCGTGCCCCAGCCGTTCACGTTTGATGGCCTGATATTTAGTTCTCCTGTGGTTTTTCTCCAACAGTTCTCATCATCGTTCCTTTCAGATCTGTACCTCTTCAGTTACTAAGTATCCCTAGGTTTCTGTAGCATAGTGTTTCTTTTTGCATTCCTCTTCCTCTTTGTTTTTCCTGAAGGAATCCTTCAGGATTTATTTCAGAGTGGGTCTGTGTTTAGTTAACTCAGTCTTTTTTTTTTTTTCTTTCTGGAAACAACTTTCCTTTGCCCCCAGTTTCAGGCCTGAGCCTGCTGAGTGGAGAAGAGCAGACCAGCTTTTCCTCCAGCACCGCTGAGACGCCATTCCTTCATCCTCAGACCGTTATCACTGCGGAGAGGAGAAGAGGGCCGATAGCCGTTGCAGAAACATTTCTTTGAAGATAATCTACGGCAACTCTGGAGTAGCTTCAGAAATACTGTTATCTCCCTTGATGTCCTGTGGTTTCACAATCATGTGTCTGGGTGTATCTTCGTCTTTAGTCTGTGTGCTCTTTTAACTCAAGGCGCAGAAGCTGTCCTCAAATCTGGAAATTCCTAGTCAGCATTGTTCATATGCCTTTCACCTCTGCTCTTCCCACAGCCCCTGTGGACCCAGAATCAGGACTGGGTCATCCCAGTTTCTCCATGTTTTAAAAATGTGCCTGTTGCCAGGAGTGATGGTACACAAACAAATATCTCTATTTTCTAGGTGTTACATTCTAGATGATTTTTTTTTTCTCTGAGACAGGGTTTCTCTATGTAGCTTGGTGCCTTTCCTGGATCTCACTCTGTAGCCCAGGCTGGCCTCGAACTCACAGAGATCTGTGAGTTCTGCCTCTGCGTGCTGGAATTAAAGGTGTGCGCCGCCGCCGCCCAGCTCTGGATGATATTTTTTACAGTTTTATTTTGTGTGTATGAATGTCTTGTCTGCATGTCTGTCTGTGTACCACATGTGTACAGTGACCACAGAAGGCCAGAAGGCATCAGATCCCCTGGAACTGGAGTTGTGGATGGTTGTGAGGCACGATGTAGGTGTTGGGAATCGAACCCCAGTCCTCTGGAGGAGCAGTCAGTGATTTTAACCTCTGAGCAATCTCTCCAGTCCCTGGATGATTTTTTTTTTTTTTAAATTCAGGTCTGGTTTTCTTTCATTACTCTGTTTGAAACAGGGACTTACTCTGTAGCGCAGGCTGGCCTCTGGCTCTAGCTCCTCCTGCCTCTGCCTGCCAAGTGCTGGGGTTATTGTTGTGACAGGTTTTTCTTCCTGGGGTGAGCAGCCGACTTCTCTGCTGTCTCCTTGACATAGGAAGCAATATCCAGATAGGGGTCATCCTTTCCCAAATGACTTCTGCCTAGTTCCAGCTCCTTATGATAAACGGAAACTATGGCCTGGATTTCTGTCTCCATGTGACACTAAAGGTCCTCCAGTGTCCCCATGATCCCCCAAAGCAGGCCTTCTTGTATTTCACTGTGCTCCTCACGCGGAAAAACTAGTGACAGAGAGTCCCCAACCGGCACACCCCGGTCAGGGCTGAGAGCAGCATTTCCAATGTGCTCAGGAGATCCCGCCATGCTGATACTGGGTCTGTGCCCAGAGTTCACCTCAGCAGAGGATTCCAGGTGCTGGTGACTCTCTCTCTCTCTCTCTCTCTCTCTCTCTCTCTCTCTCTCTCTCTCTCATTCTCTTTCAGAAAAGGGAGAGAAATCCCCTCTTTCCAGAGTCCCTTTAACCTTGGACTTCAAAGCCCATTCTCTTCCTCGATCCTGCAAGCCCTGGTTATTTCACACTTGAGGAAAACAAAGAAGGACTGTGTGAGCTATAGAAAAGCCCAGATAACAAGCTTAACTAAAGTGGCACACACACAGAAGGGCACGGAGTCAGGAAGTCTGGGACTGCGTGACGGGCCACAGTTGGCAGGACCGTGTGCTCTATGCGTTTTTCTGTGGTCACCCTTCATGTGCCACTGCACTGGTTAAAATGGCCACAAGAGCATCCAACGCCCTAGTCATATTCCCACCGCTAGAAAGCAGGGCTAGGTCAAGAAGGGTGAACCTCTAAGGACAGGTACTTCCTTTAAGTTTCAACTGCCTGTTCCACAAAAGTCTCACTGGCTGGGGCTTGGTTGCATGTTGGCTTCTGGTGGCAAAGGAGTCTGGGAAATGCAACCATTTATTTGGAGTGGCCAGGTGCCTGCTAAAAATGGGGGACTTCTGTTGTCAAGGAAGAGGGGTATTGATAAACAACAGTCTGCGTGATTGGAATTTTAAGGCATCTTCCTTAGCTGTGGATCTAACGAGGGCAGGGTGTTGATACTGTCGGGAGCACAGAGGCACTCACGTCTGTGTATCCACACACACATGTGCACACACCCAGAAAGGGAGAGCGTGCCCTTTGATAAGACTTCTTGCACAGAAGGAAGGCAGATTATCGAGTCCCTCAGGACATATTTAGGATGCCGGCATCGGGGTCTGGAGAGTTGGCTCAGCCATTGCAGGCAAGGCTCACAATCCAAAAGGAAAATGGCAGCACCTACTGCCAGAAATAACCATGAGTGACCAGTCAAGAGAGAATAAAAGATAGGACGAGGGAACCGCTGAGTAGCAAGCGCGGAGGGAAACAGGTCGGAGCCGACGTTCTGTGAGGTGCGAGAGCAAAGCCAGGCTGGAACACGGAGACATCCAGTAGCCTGCCTGGTCAAGAGTGGAGTGCACCTGAGGGTGTGCCTGCAGGGTGGGCAAGAGCCGGGTGCCAGGATTGAGAGAAGATGCTAAGCATCATGCCGCATTTCGGAACCTCTTGGACCTTTATGCCAAGATGAAGGTGAGCTAGTTAACTCAAACTGGACATCCCAGGCTGGCATGGGAAGGCAATTTGGACTTTAGATACCCTCGTTAGCTTTTATAGTGAGACTCACCACTAAGACTGAACTGTTCCCAGACCCTAGCAAACATGACGCTTGATAGCATTGTGTAATGCACACACACTGGCCATTCAGGGATATGTCGTATCAAGCAACAAGTCAGCTATTTGCACTGTCCTACAGATACTTACTTTTTTTGTGTATGTATATGTATTTAAATTTTTAACTTTTTCAGTATGAAACATCCTTTACACACACACACACACACACACACACACACACACACACACACACACACACACCAATTAACTGCCCTTTGCCATAGTGTTCTTTAGCGCACACTTCTGAAAACGATGCCACAGATAGACAAACCAGTTGCCTAGAAGGGTGACTACTACATCCAGCACTGAACTCAGGATTGCCCCCGAGGGTACTTCATAAAGAAAACAATGTGGAATGCAATACACAGTGCCTTAACTCTAGGTAGGCCACTATAATGATGCTCTTGCAGGGACTGTTTCTTATAACGACATTTAAAAAAAATGCTGATGGCATCCTACCAAAAACAGTTTAGCAAATGCAATTCTGTTGGGGCCAGTCTGATGCACTCCAGGTACCTGTGTTTTAGCAGCTCGGGCAGCACCAGAGATCAGTGTTAGAAAATCTGGAAGAGTGGAGGGAACCGCTTATCCTTCAAGCAATCTTCTTGGAATGGTGTTATTTCTCAGCGGGGCTCTTACATAAATATTTAGTAGTAGGACTTCAAACTGCACTCCCTAGATGGCTTGAAGGCAGTGTTCTTTGTTATCCTTTGAGTCTTGAGTCACGTGTCTTCACTGGCTATCCAGACCAGGGTGAGCCCTCCACCACCATCCACCATCAGGGCAAGGACTATCTTCTCGGGTTGCCCAGAGACTTAGTGTCTAAAAACGAAAGAGCCAGCCAGGCCCCCAAAGTCAACCTCATTTAGCGTGGCTGAAGGAATGCCCATAGCTAAGCGTGTTTAAGATTGGGCTAACCAGACCCTTGCCATGGCCAAATAAAATCTTGGCAAAACACCTGAGAATGCCTGGCTTTGAGCAAAGCTACTGTCAGGATCCCATCCAAGACAAACGCTGTGTTAGTGCCAAGGTAACTGAATGAAGTAACTTGTACTGGGTCATTATGATAAATCAGTGAAAATGCGGAGTGCCTATCAGAGATAATGTATTAGTTTTAGGACAGTTGGCTTATGGGCGCTCTTTCTGGAAATAATTGGCTGGCATGGTAAATTTATTTTCAGGTCACATCTAATTTGAGGTAATGAAACGTCACGTCCCTGCACAGGAATGTCTGGCTTTTGTTGTGGAAGACAGCAGGGAGGTTGGAACTGACATCCAGGATGCCGGAAAGATCATTAGGAAGCAGGCCAGGGGGAGGTGATTTCAGAATGTGTCCCTGTTGTACATGTCTGGACATCCACTGACAGAGCAGGTTCTAGAAAGGCATCCACACTCCAAGGTCTCCCAGCAGCCCAGGCCAGGGTCCACTTCGGGTCTCGAGCAGTTGCTCATCTCTTGGGGGTTGAGCATTACAGTGGTTTGGGATGGGATAATGCAGCTAAAATTTTCATGCCCCGATGTGTGAATTTGATATTCTGGTGAAACGTGGATTTTATTT